CATTTTGGCCAACATGAAACAGATGACATCGTCTAGAGGTCTATCACACAATTACATTTTAACTTGACACTAATTTGGATTATGAATACAACAAATTATTCACATGTTGCTTCACAAGCCTTACTAGCATCATATATGAACCTGTTGGACATTGTTCAATTTTTAGTCGACAAGCATTTTCCACAGACCCAGCGATAGATATCTTAAGATACCATCTTCAACAAAAATGTTCGGTCACTGCCTAGTGCCTAGACAATCAGTCACTGCCAAGATAATCACCATAACATGATATACATGCACATGGTTATGACCGAGCCTCATAACATTTGGGATAGAATGTAATGGTAATGCATGTTGAATGAAAAGCAGGCTGATTTCATTTCATTTTCTCTTAGTACGAGTATGAGAGATTGAAAGATCTTATTTTGGTGGCTCTCTAGTCAATAATATTTACCGTATTTGCCGGCGTAAAGGCCGCAGTATTTTTGAAAGAGAAAATATAAAAAGTCGGGGTGCGGCCTTTACGGCAAAAAAAAAAAAAAAGTCAAAACCAGCATGAATTTGTACATATGGGACTAGATCTACGAACGGTACAATAACTATACATTTCCACACATCTTACCGACAATTTTATCTTGCATTGTTGGCATGAAGACGAAAATAAACTTCCAAAAACAACATCTGCCGATAGATTTTGATCTAAGTTCGTGCCAATGCATTGCAAAAGTAAAAGAAGGGCCTGTTTAACAGAGCCGCCACGAAGCATCCGGCGAAAGAGTAAAAAATAAGAAAAAATGAAAGTCAAAACCAGCACGAATTTGTGCATATGGGACTACAAACGGTAAAATAACTATACCACTATGGTACAGGACATTTCCACACATCTTACCGACAATTTTACCTTGCACTGTTGACATGAAGACGAAAATAAACGTCCTAACAAAACATTTGCCGATAGATTTTGATCAAGTTCGTGCCAATGCATTGCAAAAGTAAAGGAAGGGACTGTTTAACGGAGCTGCCGGGAACATCCATCCGAAGTCACCATTTTGTTTTCCATATCATGCAGTTTCGCATTACACCGTACATTGTGGTAGGGGTATATATCGGACACCAAATCTGCCTGCGATCACTTTTTTAGCTAAACTTCCGGTAAATTATAAGAATATTGATGAATTCGGTATCAGTTTGTAAAAAAAAAATAGTGTTTTCGAGAAAATTATGATTATTTTGTTGTGTCCATTTGTTTTTTTTTCCTTTTTTTTTTTTACCTTTTTTTTTTTCCCCCTCTTTGAAATGTCAAAGTTGGGGTGCGGCCTATGCGGCGGTGCGGCCTTATCGCCGGCAAATACGGTACACATTATATGTGAATGTGAATGGTGGTCTTATTTGGCTGATCATTACGTCACATACGACGATCATAGCTTAAAATTTCATGTAGTTTCTACTGGTCCTCCCCTTTTATGATAATAATAATAAAAACGGTGCTTATAAAGAGCTTACAACCAAAGTCTTTAAGCGCAGTTGATCTGTAAATAATCATTCACATTTACTGTACTCCATTCCAGGATATCATTTGGAGCATACACATATTTAAAACAGGGGTGATAGTGAGCACTAAAAAAAAAATAGGTTTTTTTGTTTTCCCCTCAACCACGCCCCCCTTGAGTAAAAAAAAAAAAAGACGATTCGCGGGGAAAAAATGGCATCTAACAACATTCCCCCCTTTCGAGTAAGAAAATTGAGACAAACTTGGGAAAATTGGGGGGAAAAATAGGGAAGAATAGAGATAATAAGAGGGAAATCGGGAAAATCAGGATAAAATAGGGAAAGAAAAAAAAAATGTTAAAAAAAAAAAAAAAAAAAATGTTTTTTTTTTTTTTTTTTTTTTTTTTTTTTTAAATCGGGAAGAAAAAAAAAATCGGGAAAAAATCGGGAAAAATAAAAAAAAATCGGGAAACCGATTTAAATCGGGTTTTTATCAGGCCTGTTAAAACAATAACAATAACTGTAGAGATGCGAATACCTGCCTATAATAACATAACTCAAAAGAGTCAAGGAAATATCTTTCTGAAGCTTTTGTATACATTGTATACAATACAGCACTAAGCAACACATACATTATTATATGAAACACTTTAAATTTAATGTCAAAGTAATGTTCATTACTTCATTTTATTGAGAGGCAGCCAAGTAATGTTCATTATTTGATTTTATTGAGAGGCAGCCAATTTATGTTCACTAATGTGTGCATCAACTATGCTCATCAATGACTTCCTGTCATGGTGTGTTCCTACATGTATTCAATACACCAGTTTACTAATACATTCAAATTTATGGATGCTTCTTTCCTGGGGACCTTGTAACAAGTTATTCCATTAACCTGTTATTAATGAATAAACTACAATACATGAACCTGGATCCAGTCTGCATATCACATGTTGCTTTGCTGGGCAAGTCTCATGCCAGCTTTCAAGTTGTCAAGAACAACATTGGCTTAAAAGGTATGCATAAAATTTGGATATGTTAGTAAGCTGGTCTAATGGGTTGTAGGTTAGGGCTAAGGTTAGGTATAGCATTTGTTTTAGGGTTGAAGTTTATTGAAAGTTGAGCGATTGTTGCTGGAGCCAGGAGCATGTAAAGTACATAAATGAGACAAGGATTCTTTTCAAAAAACGCCCTGGTTTTGCTGCGCAAACTCTGAACGAGGCTTTATAATGCAAGAACTAGACTTTTCCAAGCGTCTTTGCAGAGCAAGATCTGTAGGAGAGCATCTCGGCCAATGAAAGCTGTCTATCTTCAACGTTACAGGCACCAACAGTTAATCTTTTCAATCCACTCAGTCGTGCATAAATAAATTGATTTTGCTTTTCCTTTCTTTTCCCATGCACTACGTTCTTAATAATACAGCATTCTGAAATCTAGTTTGTTGATTAACGTTGGTTTCCATTTTCCTTGGTTGGCAAACTTGTCAACATTCACAAACCTCTTTCTTTGAAGAACTATTCCTTTCCTGCAGCAGTGCGCATTACACATACGTTATTTATGTGATGAATTAGTCTTATAACTAAGCAGTCGTTACTAACAATTAATTTGGCAGCAAGAATACATGTACCTGCATTGCGATTTCATTTGGGTGTGGTCGCAAGTTGGGAATGTAAACAGTGTGTGCATAGGCACTTCCAAGTTTTCAGTTTCATCAACTTATTTCATCACAATTCAGTCTAGCATTAGTTGTTGGCGATGGTGGCTATTTTACCTGACTGCTAAGAAAGCATAAATGCTTGTAAGTAAGCAACCAGACGGCCGACGGCTTTAGGTCCTCTCTGATGGACCTGGTAATGAGGATTAATGCCTTACCAAAGGGCACTAGCGCATCAACTTGGTCTCGAACCCAGGTCACCGGAATACGAGACCGCTGCTCTACCGACTGAGCTATTGCGCCTCCTCATGACTTATCATGTCCTGATAAAAATGGAGTGTGCATGCGCGACTGTAATGATGATCATCATCGTCATGTGAATTACTTAGGGCCTAAATATATTTAATAAGGATCTGAAATTACCAGGAGGGGGGCTGTCCAAAAATGAGGATCGTCCGCATATATGTACGAGGATATCCTCATAAATGCGGACAAATTGTGCCTCAAAAATAAGGATCGTTTGCGTTTTCGCAGACATTTTTTTTCATCGGCACTCTGCAGGTTTCGGATTCCCCAACCACGCGCTGGCGAAGCGAGAACCGGATTCCGTGTAAGAAAATAACCCCACACAGTACTCAATGTCTTCTTTTATGGGTTGTCCGTCCTCCCCGAGGATTTATCGCTCATTATATAACGTGAAAGTCTCTGTACAAAGTCAATGTACAAAGTCAAAGTAAAAATAAAAGGCATCCAGAAAATCATCACGGAATCTGGCCAATGTGCGGATCAGAAATAAGAATTGTCCGCAAAATGCCGATGACCCTTATTTTTGCAGACACATTTATCTGTCCTCGTTTATGAAGACAAATCCTTGTTAACTTATTTTCAGACCAGCACCCTTACTGATTACAGCTACTAACTTCACACACGCACGCTGTATGCAATCTTATTGTGCAGCGGTTTGCCATGAAATCTGTGAAAAAGTTATTATTATAATTTGTAATGCCTTTTCTTTTTAGGAAAAAATACCCCAAAAGAGATAGGAAAAAATACTCCAAAAGAGATAATTGACCCGAAACAGGTAAGAAACATAACAACTTTAAAATGACTATTATTTGAACAATTGATGAAGATTTAGATCTAGTTGAATTTGGTATGTTTTAGTAGGGTATCTCCACGCCTGAGTTACGGGTCAATAATTCTCATTGAACTTGGTTTTGGTTGGTGATAAACTGATATCAATCATATTTCAAAAATCACAAAGTCCAAGCCCTTTATCTGTTGTGTCATTTGTATGGCTTATTTATTGACCAACAGTTAGATCATAGATATATGTATTTGTATTTTTGAAGATGTAGTATAATTAATTGTGCTAAGTAATGTTAAAAGATAAAAAGAACTTAGCAACAAACGGTCCACTGCTCTTTGAAGTTTGAGCCTGGCCAATGTCATTCATTCATTCATCATTCATTTGTTACACGGCAAACCCTATTGACATTGTCACAGTGCAGTAGCGCATAGCCAGTGCAGCTGCAGTGCAGTGCAAATTCAAACCCAAAACATTCAGGTTTTCGTCATTACTGCTCACTTAGTGATGGAGCAAACTTTGTTTTCCCGAACAATATCGAATTACATACATAAGACTCAGGTAATGCATTACAATCATACAAAATATTTCATAGGTAAACGACTGGGAACCCCTATGACATTTTAGTGTTACAACATAGGCTGATTGACCTGGCACTGGAAATGGGCCGGGCCGATCTAACCAATACAATTTACATTTTACTCCGTAGTCAGGCATAGTAAACATGGCGGCTGCTTAGATCGATTTGTCTATATAGTTTTGATTACTTACTTTTTATGACCCTTTCCGTCGTGGAAATCTTCCCGTCCGCCATAGCTAAAGTCAAAGCCTTCTAGCTTCCACTAAGAATATAATTCCGAATGGATGGCCTCCAAAGTCGCTTGATTTTGTCGATTGTTATCCTTCTATTTCCCGAATCGTCGTCGGTTAAATCCGGCAAACTCAGATTCGCACTAGATGTGCTAGATACAAATATTTCGGCGAGATGCAGTGTACGTGCTGCGGTGAAAAGGTCTGTTCCGATGAATGAAAAACTGCTCTCGGTGCTAACAAAAACTAGTACGCTAATACTAGTCCACGGATAATACGAGTATTACTGCACTCCTGTTGAAAATTACAAGCACATAGTCTAGTGACTGATTATTTTAAAATATTAAATGATAATAATAGGGTGTAATTTCATTCGGTATAGGAGAATGAAATTGGTTCATAATTGTATCTGTCTTTCAAAAAGATTGCGAGTGTTTCGGATGTGATAGAGATTTTTTTAAATCTTTGATAGAACACCTTTCATAAATACTAATTTTATAATGATTTCACGTTTTTGTCTTTCTTTCTCTTCTAAAGTAGCTAATTGATCTAAATCACAATCCGCCTAAGTTTATAATTTTATATATTTGGTGAGCCAAGCCTACATGACATGTGATGTCATTAATATTAACATGACTTATTCACATAATTGCGACTTAATCAATATTTTCCTATTGACATTACTGTTTACTACACTGTAAAAAATAATTTGTTCATTGGTAATTTTTACGTATTTTTTCCATGTAGAATTTACTTGAAAACATTAGTTTTGCCACTTACGCACTAAATTTAAGTCTTGCTAACTCAAACTTTCAATTTAGTAGAACATACGTGGAATATTTAAGTAAAATCAAATACATAAGAACTTTAAGTAATTTCAGCTTGTATTAATTTAGTAATTTTAACTCAAAATCAGAAATTATATGTATTACTCAAACAATTTATATTGATTATTCTTATCTTTTTAAAGTAAGGACCGATGCAGTGCGTAATAGAAATATTTACATAATTTATGAATATTCATTAAGACCAAATTAAACTCTTTTTAAAATAAAACAATTCTTTTTTGTGGTTGAATGAAAATTTAAGGACTTTAAAACATTTACTAATTCATTTAACATGGCTAAGCAAAGACAAGACAATTTTTAATTGTTACCCAGTTCAAAACAAATCAAAACTTGATATTTCAGGAAATTGTCGACCAATTTTCCTATTAAGATGCTACGATCAAGTATATATAAAATTTGGAGCCTTTCAATATGTGTCGAATTGAAGCGTATGTAATAGTTTGTGATGGTGGTAGATATATATATATATACGGTTAAATCTTAAATAGAAGTAGTGTTAGTGATTAGTGATTAATCTTAAATAGAAGTAGTGAATGATTAGTGGATGTTACTTGTTAGATTAGATGGGTACCAAATCGTGCAATTTGTAATCCTATCATAGCTTTTTTTTAATTATCTAAAATGATTACAATACTTAAATTATTTACGTTAATGTAACTCGATTTAACTGAGTAAAAATTTATTCAGCAAAATAAGTAAATTCTACTCAAGATGCCGTAGGTAATATTTACTTAATAAAAATAAGGCAATTCTTTTCCTCAATTTTATTGAGTTATTTCGACTATTATTTTTTTACAGTGTAGGTTAATGATATATGTTTATTTTGCAAATGAGTATTATTATTATTTTTTACTGTTTTTGTATAAACGTTATTATCGATGTAAATATGTTCATGTTTATGCAGGGCCCCATGGAAGACCACTATTTGTAGGTGAATGGGCTACCCTGTCAAAAGATTAGAAATAAATAAAATAAATAAATAAAAATTCTCACCAGACACTGTAGACACATTAGGTGACGTGCTAATGCTTTGAGTACCCATCATTACTATTTGTACTGAACTTGAACTATGATATTTTCTATAGCAATGACTGCAAAGCATGAATCACTTAATTGATTAAATCGTGAACATGTAACGACCCTTTCTTAGTAATTGCCCAAATTAACTATAAAGTGCAAATATACATATAAGTCATTTACTTTGTTTAAGATATTTTGGCGCCTCTTCATGCACGTATACAAACTTCGCGCATTCATAAGTTTCCACATGATATTGCAATAAAATTTGAAACAATTATCTAGCCATTTGCCAATTGTGTACATTAATTATTAGTCAAAGTTTATAAATTATTGAACAAAAATAATACCTTAGTCACACCGACACCACCGACACCAAACCAAATACAAGATTGTGTTTCTCCGAACTGTGCATGAGATTTTAGATCTGAATAACACATATTCAATGTAAAAAATATATTCAAACAAAAAGAAAGACAAAGAGACTGTGTTTTCTCCGCTAAAGGCCCACGACCCCGTTTTATAAACTTATGTGATTAATCGCGACGTATTTTTCAACTATATACATAATATATAGGAGACTGCAGACTTGCGATTGATTAGAGGACTTGGAATTGATTCGGATCAATCGCAACTCTTTATAAGACATTACTTTTTCTTTCTTATTCAATACAATATTCGAGTAAGCCACTATAATGTTATATCAGAGTACCGTTAGCTGAAGTTTGATGTTGTCAAATGTTTTTAACTGAAACAAGTTCACCTCGAACTTTGTTTAAACCAAGCATTTAAAAAAAACACTCATTTGTATTGTTCGTGAACAGAAATCCACTGACGGTAGAAATAATATAATAATATTTACAATTCTTATGTGATGATAACAATGAGATATTCAAATAAACTAATTAAATCAAAGTAGGCCGAAATTGAATGTGGTAGAATGCTTCCAACTAAAAACAAAAACTTTAATTCGAAAACCTCTTGAAGACGAGCATTTTCCAAAAATCCCTCATTTGGTATTTTATTGGTACTGGAGAGTTCCACTGACAGTAAAAGAAAAACAAAATGATGAACAAATAATTTTACAGTCTGCATGCAATAATCATTGCCTTTCGACTTATAAATAATAAAAATGATGATGAAGTGAATTAAAAATTAATTGAGATATTAACCGACAGCGTCTGTCTTGTGGGCCTTCTTGTAACTTTTTTAGGCTTCTATAGACGGACAGCCGAAGAGACCGACGTTGCTATCTTCCCTTATGTATTTCTTTTTTCATCGGTCTCGTGGACTAGTGGTCTCGCGGACTTTCAGGGATATCATCTTTGTCTGTACTTTTTTTGTATCGGTCTCGTGATCCGTATGTCTAGTGAAACTTTGTAAATGTCGGTTTCGTGGGCTATCGGTCTACTGGGCTGATTGATCAACCATATTGATCAACCTTAGGAGTATATGACATCAAGACGAGATTTTAAGTGGTGGACGTAGGGCTCTAGTACCTCTTTGTGAAGCTTTACAAAAGTATTTTATGATCTCTAATTCTAATCGAGAAGGCTAGCATCATTCTGGTAAACCGACAGTACAAGAGACCGACAACACAAGGAAACAAATAAGAAAATACACCGATAGTGATGAATCTTTGCAGAAGGTTTTTTATCGAGATGAGCGTATGGCAGTTTAAAATACGAATAGACTCGAAGTACGGGATGATGACCATGTAGTGTGCTTTTGTAAGGCATTATTCAGTCATCAAGTCACAAAGTCTCACCGAGAGGACAGAGACCAGTGGCGGATCCAAGGGGAGCCAGGGGGTCCGGGCCCACTCCCTTGGCCAAAAAATAGGTTTTCTAAAAAAGATGGTAACGTTGATATACCTTCTTCTTTTTTTAAAGACGGGCCCCCTCCCATGGCAAAACGGGAAAAGGGGATTTGTTTATATTTTTGCCCAAAGAGATGAGGGGGGGGGGGGTGTCGAGTAAATATTTTCTCACGAACTGGGTCGCCTCCCTCGCCGCTGGCTGGATCCGCCCCTGACAGACACTATGCTACGGTTTTAAGTAAATGAGTACAATACTAACAAAGACTGCAGGTAAGCTCATCGGTGATATTGTGAAATATCATTTTCATGATATTTTGTGTCATTATTCATCTCTCTGTTTTCTCTAGCATATTAGCAAGAAGTGTCTCTCAAACGTGTAATAAGTTTACAAACTTCTGTGATTGTCTATTCTTAGGCCAATAATAATAATTGATAAAAAATATAACAGATTTGTAAGGCGTCGAATCCACTTGAAATGAAATGCTCAAGGCGCACTTGTGAAACAAAATACAAATAAAAGGGAGATCACATAAAGACATCTGCATTAGAAACAAAGGAACATACACAAATGAAAGAACAATCGATTATATCCCTTATCTTACAGATACGTTTTAAGATTTTTGTTACTCTTATTAATTCTTCATGAGATTATTTACGTGAAATACATGATATCCATATTAGTTTTGAAACGGCTTGACAAAAAGGGGCTAAAAGACGGTGACCTTAAGTAAAACACGGGTAGAAACAAGCATGTACCCTAAGATCGAAACTAAACTCTCATCTTTTAATTATCAATTATATCTTTACATGACAGAATATCATACGTTTATATATATTTTTGTTTTATCTGGTTGAATTGGAGTAACTGTTAATAAATTATACCTCCATGCTTCTATGTCATCCATCTGAAAACATAATTGACAATCCGAAATTCATTTTTTTTTAAACATGCACACATGCAGCTACCACAGTATGGTTTCGACCAACGTCCAACGAGACACGAGAGGGCGATTGGCAGGGATAAATGTGAGTTTGCGTTTCAGTCAAATTTTTGTTTGTCCTCTTCTTTTCAAGTTCTTGATTTAATACCCAATACATGTAGAACTACAGTGGCGTAGCTGCCTTGGCTACGGGGGTATGAGGGGCACGTGACCCCCAATCGAAGGGGATCATCATCTAATCGGGGCCATTACACCAACTACCAAGTTTGCCAGTAAAATAGTAGGAAAATTATCCCTTTATTCCCTGAAATAGTCATCAGAATTTCCCTGCAAGGGTATTTTAACTGAAAAGATACCAAATAGCAAAAAACAGATTTCCCACAATGAATTATGTTTTCACCGAGTTTTAGTAGACATCATAATTATTTTTTATTAAGCATTTGCCTAACAAGCTTATTGATCATTTTTTTTCATTCTTTGATCATCATTGCAATATAAAGAACAGAGAGAAATGTAACTTAAATGTTGCAAGCATATCAATACCAAACTAAGAATAGTAATCATTTT